ACACATCTTGGGGAGAAAGTCTGTCGCATACCAAAACACCACTGCCCTTGACCTAGTTTGACCTTCACCTGTCGACTTACATCTCCTCTTCGGCCTCCTAGGGTAACCAGATTCCATATACTTGCACATCTGAGGCACACCAGTTGTCTAACAAACCTTGTCTTTGTGACTTATTTAACTTTACCTGCCTTCTACGTCCTTACAGAGATATTCTATTCATACTAGATCACGGGGGATACATGTAGTTGGCGACAACTGCTCATTCTAGTTAACCATAAGAAAGGCATAGAACACGAGATGGAGAAAAGGGGAATAGCGAGAGAAGGTGTAGAGTACAGGGGCTGCAGACAGCAACGTACAGATAATGCGAGGTTATATCTGTGGCGCTATATATCTCTCTATCAAGCCGTAATTATTAACCATAAGATAGGGATAGAACAAGAGAGGGAGAAAGGGCATAGCGCGAGAGAGAGAGAGGGGAGTACCGGGGCTGTAGACAGACATCGTGTAGACAGACATCAAATGGCCCGTCTACGAGCATAAAGGCATGGAAGAAGAGAGGAAGAACGGGGAATAGCGAGAGAGGGAAGGAGTACGGGGGCTGCACACGGCGACGTACAGGTCACGTGGCCCATCTACGAGCCGAATATATGGGATCATTAGATCAGGAGTGAATAATAATAGTGAATAATCTATTATCCACTCCTGATTAGATTCATACCGATTTCGCAACAAAATCGCACGAACACACACACACACACACACACACACACGCCGCACACACACACGCACACGCACACGCACACACACACACACGACGCGCGCGCGCGGCGCAGAAAAAAACCGCACGCAGCGCTAGTATACTTACAACTACACAGCTGCGGCATCTCCATCACTCTCACAACTCAGCCGGCAGCCAGAATGAGGTAAAAGTCAACGAGTGTTAATGACAGCTGACGTTCTGGAATGTCTACCAACTTCAGCGAGATTAGAGCGAGATCAACAAAGACGTGAGATGCGTGGGCATCAAGAGGAGAGCGGGGGGAGGGGGGGGGCACATATATAACAGCGAGATGTTGGGCCTCGAGCCAACTTTGTGCACTAGCGTGAGCAGTAACAGTAATAAAATCACCTGCTGCCGGCAGTCGGTGGTAGTAGTAGTAGTAGTAGTAATGTAGCAGTGCGTAGTAGTAGTAGTAGTAGTTAGAGTAGTAGTAGTAGTAGTAGTAGTAGTAGTAGTAGTAGCAGTAGTAGCAGTGGTAGTAGTATAGTGTTAGTGGTAGTGGTAGTGGTAGTGACAGTGGCAGTATGTGGCAGTGGCAGTAGCAGTAGCAGTAGCAGTAGCAGCTAGGCCCAGTTAGCAGAGCAGCAGCAGCAGCAGCAGCAGCAGCAGCAGCCGCAGCAACAACAACAACAACAACAGTATTGGCAATGATAGCTGTAGAGGTAGTGGCAATGATAGTTGTAGTGGGAGATGTAGAGAGACAATAGCAGAATACCAGCAGCACCAACCGCTGCAGTAGCAAGAGTGGCGGCTGCGGCGCCGGCGGTAGCACCAACACCAGCACCGCCACCACCAACCAAAACAGCAGCAGTAGCAGCAGCGGCACCAGCAGCAGCAGTTAGAGAAACAGTAGTAGTAGGCCTATAATACCGTGGTAACGTAGTAGGCAGGCAGGTAATCCCTAAAATCGATCAAATCCACCGGTTTATAGCGTACACATAGATTTATATTGCATAAGAAGTTCGGCAGTCCACAAATTGGTTATGCTGTGAACAACCAGGTAACAGTAAGATAGATAATGGGGTAACAATCTATGGGGTAACATAGTAGCCAGCGTAACGCTCATAGGGTCTATGTCCCCCAGGGTACTGCCGGAACGTACCCTGGGTACGGTCCGGTATACCGGAACGTACCCCGGTAACTATCTAGCTGATATGGTTAGGGTTAGGGTTAGGGTTAGGGATACTGTTAGGGTTAGGGTTAGGGTTAGGATTAGGGAGTAGGCGTAGGCGACTCCCTAGACTCGTTAATGGAGTAGGCGAGGTACGGTCCGGCATATTAGATAGTAGTATTTAGTACCAGGGTAAGTTCCGGTATACCGGACCGTACGCAGGGTACGTTCCGGCAGTACCCTGGGGGACATAGACCCTCTCAGCATAAGTAACATAATAGGGTAATTCTATACTCGGACGCTGTTTAAATGCCTACTACGTAGGCCAACACATATTGTCACACTGTGCGCCGATACACAAGAGATTGATCTATACCGTTGAGTAACTGTTAAGAGTGACAGATCGACGTAACCATATAGATAGATGGATATGACTGCTGTATTGCATTAAACTGGACGCCGGTTTGTAAGTTTAATACAATAGTTGCGTATTTATTTAGGCCTACTATCGTTTTATTGTCGGCACGGCCCAAGTGCATTGTGTAACCGGTCCCGTTGCCTGAGAGCAACTTTGACCCCCTTCTAACGCAATCCTCTTCTGCTCATCAAGTCTGCTGTATGTAGGTGTTGTACAACAGTAGAAGGCGTCCATATAGGCAGAAGGCCTGAATAAGCATCGAACAGAAATTAATGAAAAACACTCACACTGTTTCGTCGCATACACTACATGCACTTTATTCATGTTAAATTACTACAGACTACTCTATGCTTCGCTCGAAACCTTTGCTAGCGAATTTCTATACAACGTATTTCTATACAAAGTATTCGGATCCCGTTTCATACAGAAAAATGGCCGACCGGTGACCATGGCTACGCCACTTGCTGGAATGGCACAATTACACGACCAATCTTAATTCTAATGCTTTCTAGACGTCCACGAAGCATCTAATTTGCGTGCATGATGCAAAAGAGTGCACTCTAGTGCCGAATTTCACCGCAAAAAAATTCCAAAAATGCGTTTTCTAGATACCAAATAGTGCAACTTGCGGTGAACAATCTGCGGAGGCTTACAGTTGCACGCGCCTCCTATAGTAGTCCCGTTAAGCTCGCTAACCAACGTGCGGCTGAATCTTAGCAGGTGATTGCAAAGCATCCAGTCGGGTCGCCAAAAGTTGACATTGTAAATGTTGTAAGCTCGTGTAGCCGGAGGTTCATGAGCCTATCAAGTTTGCTCGTTGTAAACAGAAGTCGGCATGATCGGTATCTCTTTTCTATAAACAACGGATTTAATATGTTTTTCGAGGTTTTGCGGCGCTGAGGTGGGTGAGTGCGTGCGGCTTCGAGTAGTGTGCGCACAACTCTTATAGGAGTTATTGCGCGATTAGTAACAACTATTGCGGATGGGTTCGACTACCGACCGGGTCATACCGTACCAAAGACTTAAAAAATGGTACACACTGCTTCTCTGCTTAGCACTCAGCAAAAAGAGATAGAGTGTGGAAACGGTGTGAGAGGAGTATAGAGACCCTCGCACGTATTTAGCTAAACATGGAACCATGAATACATATTCGTGGAACCCGAGATGGCCAACGCGTATCCTCGACAAAAAAAATGGCGGATCAATTCGTGAAGTAATAATGAAACCTATAATGCAAAACAGTGCTGAAGGTCGCGTATTTTACAAATACATTAGGTTGTATGCTTTCCGCGACTCACGTCGTGAGGCATTATATGAAAATTCTATAGCCTCTCTATCGAACACCTGTAACGCGAGACACGTAGCAGCTTTGTGAGGGTCCGCATATAAAAACAGATGGTATTTCGCTTACCCGAGGGTATCGGCGAGGAATAGAAATCGTCTGAATTCATAAAATTCGAAATATCGCCGACAGGAATGCATTATTCTTCGCAGCGGACATGAGGCGCTTTGACCTGTGCTTTGACGTAACGCCGTCGGCCTCTCTCTCTCTCTCTCTCTCTCTCTCTCTCTCTCTCTCTCTCTCTCTCTCTCTCTCTCTCTCTCTATTGCCACCGAGCTCGGCTTGCCACTGGTCTTCCATTTACAAACAAACTCGGCCCCCGCGCATCGGGCAGCAAAAACTACGCCATGGAATAAACTCGGGGATTTCTGCCCGCAGCTGGTAGCAGAAGTTACTTATCGGGGGTCAGACATTAATGGTTTACCATGAATCAGTCTTTATTCGCCATGTAAACACCGCTTACAGCCAATACTCACCTACCAACCCTCACGAGGGCATTCACAATGAAGGCGGATTGCTTTCTTGCTAAATATTTTGCCGTGCACAGGTGCATAAAGCCGCCTTTCATGCGAAGGGACGTAATTTGCCTAAAGCCTATTCTGATGGTCTTTGTTGGACGCTAGTCTGAACTGACACAACGATCTGCTGAAATTGACGTTGAAACCGCCTCATTATCTATTTAGGCGCGGGAAAGTGTAAGGCGACGTAAGTAAGACTCGTACCTGAATTCTACTCGCCGATCATTCGCAAATGGAATGTGAATGTGTATATATATATATATATATATATATATATATGTATATAGCGCCAAACGCTTGCGCGGTTGCGCTTGCGGGGTATAACACATTTCGCTCCTCAGCAACATTTTCTCTCCCGTCTTCGGTTACTAAATACATCCGATTGCGGTAAACATTACTAAGTCGGTGCTGCTGCTGCTGCTACAACAGGTGGGCGAATTCGCGAACCCATAAAGTTGATAATTGATTGATCAGCGACTATGCGACTATATAGCATAAGTGAGTCATCCGTGGATTAGCAGACGACGGTAGCAGCAGCCGCGTACGGGGGTAGCTGCTGTGGCCGCGCACACATCTGCGGTTAAACCCGCGGCTACCGGCGAGTCTTGTATTTATCCTTGTGTAATTACGGTGTGTTTACATTGCGGCGCGAGCCACCGTGTACGCAATAATGCAATTATAACCTATCGTAGATTAAACGGCACACGTGCTCTCTCTCTCTCGCTCTATGCGTGTACTGCAGGTGATGATGACGTGATTTGAACATTAGAAGCGCAGGGGAGCGAGAGGATCGTCGTGTGTGATGACGTATATCTGTCCTGTTTCAGAGACCTCGACGGAGCAGCGGCTTGCTATGACGCCGTCATCGCCTGAAACGCTCTCGGAATCTCAGTCGGCGAGCGAACCCAAATGAGTATCGCACATCGGAGTCGCGTTCGGAAATCAAAATGACTTTGAACGTTGCAAAGAACATCGGAATTAGCTTGATCGTCTTCGCGTGGCTACAGTTGACGGCCACAGCACAGCTTGCAGGTGAGTGAGCAGCGCTTCAGTGAAGGAACTTAGAGTGTAACTTAGAGCAACTTAGAGTGTAACTTAGAGCAACTTAGAGTGTAACTTATAGTGTAACTTAGAGTGTAACTTAGAGTGTAACTTAGAATATAACTTAGGGTGTAACTTGGAGCAACTTAGAGTGGAACTTAGAGCAACTTAGAGTGTAAATTAGAGCAACTTAGAGTGTAACTTAGGGCAACTTTGAGTGTAGCTTAGAGCAACTTAGCAGTGTAAATCAGCAGAAGCCGACACTAACCTCATCCGTACTGTTGGGGTGTGGATTTGCCGTTGTTAGATAGATCACGCCCCTGGTCATGACCTCGTCGTGTAGACAGGTCTCCCCGCGTAAGCACGCTGAATAAAATATATAGAATGTGGGCGGATTGCGTACGTATGATATCAACGTACGTGTACGCGCAGGTGTTTCTGAATAGCATTCTTACGCTCTATCGCTAGATTTCTGTCTGAGTTTATCGTGTAGTTATCGTTTTCGATAGTACGATGTTGTACGTGGCTCCCGCTGAGACGCGATCACGCCCTGTACATATCGCTACATATCGATGTATATGACATTCATATATTTGAGTATGCCGGACGTGTTATCCATAGTTGGTGTACGTAGTAGCCTGCGGCGCGAAAGAGGTCATTAATGTTTCCGCTCCGTGACCACAAGCAAGTGAATGCGGGTTAGAAAATCTACTGTATTATACAAGTCGGCACAGTGCGATGAGAAGTCTACAGAAGACTGGGCAATTACGAGCACGGCATGGGTGCCAAATCTCTGCATTATCGTACCGGCTGCACCTGTAGTACTAACTCCTCCGGTATACTGGTATACGTACGAAAATATACACGCATTACCTCTTTTGTGCGTGCGTACGTTGTAGTCATGTTGTCTACGTGTGGTACTTATTGTATCCCCGAACGAAGTTTGTGGGGATACTATGGGTTTGGCATTGTCGCGCCGCCGCCGCCGCCGCCGCCGCCGCAGAGATTTCCCTGTGAACGCTTTACCGGCTGCAGTTCTTCTCCGATCATCTTCAAATTTCGCATGAAGGTGCGTTATCGTAAAGCGAAGACGTGTGTGTGCGTGCGTGCGTGTGTGCGCACTCCCCCGGTGCGTGCGTGCGGTGCGTGCGTGTGTGTGGGGGAGAGTGTTGTGTGTGTGCGTGTGTTGTGCTGTTGTGTGCTGTGCGTGCGTGCGCGCGCGCGCGTGTGGTGGTGTGTGTGGTGTGTGTGAGTGTGTGTGTGTGTGTGTGTGTGTGTTGTGTGTGTGTGTGTGTGTGTGGTGTGTGCGTTACAAGCGGTGCGTGCGTATGCGTAGGTGAGTATGCCGTGCTGTGTGCGTGTGGATTGTGGTTTGTGCGTGTGTGTTACTGTGTATGGGTGTGTGTGTTGTGTGTGTGTGTGTGTGTGTGCTGTGTGTGTGGTGTGTTTATGTGTGTGTGGTGTGTATGTGTGTGTGTGTGTGTGTGTGTGTGTGGTGTGTGTGTGTGTGTGTGTGTGTGTGGTGTGTGTGTGTGTATTGTGTTGTGTGCATTCGTGCGCGCGCGTGTATTTGTGTATTGTGTGCGTGCGCGTTCGTGCGCGCGGCGCCGCGCGTGTGTGTATTTATGTGGTTTGTGTGCGTGGCGGGTTCGTGCGCGCGCGCGCGTGGGTGTGTGTTTAGTTGTGTTTGGTGACGTGCGAGCTCGTGAGCGCGGCGCGTGTGTGAGGGAGTGCGGGTCGTGGTGGGGTGAGTGGGGGGGCGGGGGGTCGGTCATGTTGCCGGGCGCATTCCCGCGCTAAAGCACCGTGTGCCGTTTAATTCTACGATAGGTCTCATCATTGCATTATTGCGTAAGCAGTGGCTCGCCGGCCGCAATGTAAACCACACCGTAATTACACAAGGATAAATACAAGATCGCGGTGCCGCGTTTAACGCAGATGTGTGCGGGCGGCCCAGCAGGCAGGCTACCCCGTACGCGCTGCTGCTACCGTCGTCTGCTCATGCCACGGGATGACTCACTTAGCTATATAGCGCATCGTCGCCTGATGCAATTCATTATCAACTTTATGGGTTCGGCGAAATTCGCTCACTGTTGTAGGCAGGCAGCAGGCAGCACGCGACTAGTAATGTTTTACCGCAATCGGCTGTATTTAGTAACGCGAAGACGGAGAGAAAATGTCGCTGAGGAGCGAAATGTGTTATACCCGCAAGCGCAACGCGGCGCAAGCGTTTGGCGCTATTACATATATATACTATATATATATATATATATATATATACACATTCACATTTCATCTGTGCGAATGATCGGCGAGTAAATTCAGGTACGAGTCTTACTTACGTCGCCTCAAATACACTTCCGCGCCACAATAATTAATGAGGCGGTTTCAACGTGCAATTTCAGCAGATCGTTGTGTCAGTTCAGACTAGGTCCGAACAAAGACAATCAAATAGGCTTTAGAACATTACGTCCGCTTCGCCATCGAAAGGCGGCTTTATGCATCCTGTGCACGAAAAATATTTTTAGCAAGAACAGCAAATCCGCCTGCATTGTGAATGCCGCTCGGAGGGGTTGGTAGGTGAAGTATTTGGCTTAAGGCCGGTGTTTACATGCGAATAAAGACTGATTCACTGGTAACCATTAAGTCCTGACCGCCCGATAAGTAAGTTCTGCTAGCCAGCTGCGGGCAGAAATCACCACCGAGTTTATTGCATGGCGTTAGTTGCTGCCGATGCGCGGGCGCGAGGTTTGTTTGTAAATGGAAGACCAGGGCAAAAGCCGAGCTCGGCGGCAATAGAGAGAGAGAGAGAGAGAGAGAGGACGAGAGAAGAGAGAAGAGAGAGAGAGAGCAGAGAGAGAGAGAGAGAGAGAGGCGAGAGAGAGGGCCGACGGCGTTGTACGTAAAAGGCAGCAGGTCAAAGCGTCTCTATTGTCGCGCTGGGCGAAGAATAATGGCATTCCTGTCGGCGATATTTCGAATTTATGGAATTCAGACGAAATTTCTATCTCGCGATACCCTCGGATAAGCGAAATACCATCAGTTTTTATTATGGCGGACCGGCTCACAAAAGCTGGCTACGTGTCTCGCGTTACAGTTGTTCGAGTTAAAGAGGTTATAGAATTTTTCATATAATGCCTCACGAACGTGAGTTCGCGAAAGCATACACGTCATGTATTTGTAAAATACGCGACCGTTGCTGCACTGTTTTGCATTATAGGTTTCATTATTACTTGCACGAATGATCGCGCCATTTTTTTGGTCGAGGATACCGCGTTGCCATCGTCGGGTTTCCAGCGAATATGTATTCATGTTCCATGTTTAGCTGAAATGGGGGGGGGGGACGTGCGAGGGTCTCTAATACTCTGCTCAACACCGTTGTTCCACACTGCTAATCATCTATTTTGCTGGAGTGGTAAGCAGAGACGGCAGTGTGTAGCCACTTTGTCAGTCTTTGGTACGGTATGAGCGAGCGGTCGGAAGTGAACCCATCCGCAATAGTTGTTACTAAAATCGCGCATAACTCCTATAAGAGTTGTGGGCGGCACATCGCAGCTAGCCGACAGCGCACGCCACCCGCCACCTCAGCGGCCGGCAAAACCGCTCGAAAACCATTATTAAATGACGTTGTTTTATAGGAAAAGAGATACCATCATGGTCCGCCTTCTGTTTACACGGAGCAACTTTTTATAGGCTCATGACCTCCGGCTACACGAGCTTACAACATTTAGCAATGTCAACTTTTGGGCGACCGACCTGATGCTTTTGCAATCACGCTGGCTAACGATTCAGCGCGCAGCGTTGGTTGCGAGCCTGACGGACCGACTATACTGGAGGCGTGCAACGTAAGCCCCGCAGATTGTTCACGCGCAATTGCACTATGGTGGCATGCTAGAAGAACGCAGTTTTGGAATTTTTTGTGGCGGTGAAATTCGGCACAGATGCATGGCCTTTTGGGCATCATGGCCGCAAACAGGATGGCCTCGTGGGACGTCATAGAAAGCATTAGAAAGTTAAGATTGCATGGTCGGTAATTGTGCCATTCCAGCAAGTGGCAGTAGGCCATGGTCACACCGTCGTGCCATTTTTCTGTATGAAAGGGATTCCGAAATACTTTGTATGAGAAATAGCGTTGTAAGAGAATTCGCTTAGCAAGTTTGTTTCGAGCGACAGCATCGAGTAAGTCTGTAGTAATTTACATGAATAAGTCAGGCATGTTAGTGTATCGACGAAGCAAGTGTGATGTTTTTGCCTATAATGTTTCTGTCGATGCTTATGTCAGGCCCTTCTGCTATATGGAGCGCCTTCTACTGTTGCTACAACACCTACATACAGCAGAGCTTGATGAGGCAGAAGAGGATTGCGGTTAGAAGGGGGTCGAAAGTTGCCTCTCAGGGCGAACGGGACCGGTTACACAATGCATTGGGCCGTGCCGACAATCTAAGACGATAGTAGGCCTAGAATAAATCGGTCACTATTGTATTAAACTTAACATAACGGGCGTCGCAGTTTTATGCAATAGCAAGCAGTCATATCCATCGGTTATTATATGGTTACGTCGATCTGTCACTCTTAAACATTACTCAACGGTATCGATGCAAATCTCTTTGTTGGTTGCGCCGCAAACAGTGTGACGATATGTGGTTGCCTAGCGTAGTGGCATTGGTAAACAGCGTCGGCGAGTACTAGAAATTGACCGCTATATATGTGTAGCTTATCTGAGTAAGGGGGTCCCCTGTCCCGCCAGGGTACTGCCGGAACGTAACCCCTGCGGTACGGTCCGGTATAACGGAAGCGTACGCGCTGGTACTAAATACGAATATCTAATATGCCGACCGTACTCGGCCTACTCCATTAAGCGAGTGCTAGGAGTCGCCTACGCCCTACTCGCTATCCCTACCCTAACCCTAACACTATTCTAAGCCCTAACCCTAACCGCTTAACCCTAACGCCTAAAGCATATCAAGGCTAGATGTTAGCGCGGGGTACGT